CATCCAGATAATTAACCTTGTTCTTCAAAGTTACAAGACACAGAAGCGCTGATACATGTTTGGTTTTGTTATGGGTTTTATGTTTTGTTTTGGTGGGGTTTTTTTTTTTCTTTTAATTGTAATTTAAATATATTGTCTCTTCATTTCTTTCTGTTACATATTCAATTTAACCCACACATGTGGAGTTATTCCTACTGGTCTCACCATTTCATATCATTATTAAAAAAGCATGTATGAAGTTCAGCATCTTATAGCCGCCTATTTGCTTGCCAAGGTAAATCTTGCTTTCTAGTCTAGATCTTTTAATTGGAATGTATTTTACCTTGTTGCTTATACAATTTCCTGTGAATGGCTGGGAGTAGAAACTGCCCAGATACTCTCTACTTAATAATGCTCTGCTGCATCCCAGTCACTGGAATAGTTTCTGTTGATTTCCCTTCCAAAACATTTTGCCTTGTTGGCTTTTTTCTTCATTGAAAGAGACTGGATGTTATTAAATGAATTTATGCAAAAAGAAAGCATGTTTTGGCAGATGTGATTGGTTTTCACAGTGGAGTATAAAGTCTGTACCCCTTATAAGCTTTTCCTTTGGTTCAAGGTGTATGTTTCAAATAACACAATTTACTAGACCCTTACATGTCAACTCTTCTGAGAAGATAATGCTTTGTTAGAGTAGCTTTCCAAGTTGCTTTTGACACTTAAAATATACATGAAATAAAATACCCTCTAATTACCATGACTATCAGTTTAATTAGAAATGTTTTAGTGTCGCATAAAGAATGAAAGTCACATGTAATGTCTGTGTACATCAAAAATGTATGACATAGTAAATACAGCACTCATGTAAAACACACATCCAGCATGTTACTGTAACTAGTACGAGAACCTTGTCAAATGATTAATTCATGAGTACTTTCTGTTATGATCTGTATTGTCAAACATTTGCCATCTTCTTTTTCCTTGTTTTAGGTACCAGCAGACAGGTGTTAGGTGGCTCTGGGAATTGCACTGCCAGCAGGCAGGAGGAATTCTGGGAGATGAGATGGGATTGGGCAAGACCATCCAGATAATTGCCTTCTTGGCAGGTCTGAGCTACAGCAAGATCAGGACTCGTGGTTCAAATTACAGGCAAGTGCTCCTCTGCAGACTGTCAGTCTGTGGAGCTCAATTAATATTTCATCAGATGTATTGCGGGTGGAGGAGGGTCCTGTGAATTATTAATGACATTTCAATTACAATATTCCTTTAATTCTTTTAGTGGGGGACATCAAAGGAAAAATTTTACGAGACAATGGAGCTGTAGGGCAGGAAAAATTAAACATGTAACACTTTTAATGAATTCCAGGCATTGATGCTTCATTTTGCAGATGAGCCACACTAGATATTTTGGGTCAATACAGTGTCTAAGGTTAGCTTCCACAAATGGATTGTTTACAAACTCAATTACATTAATATCAATAGTTTACACAATATGGAATTTTAAATTAGGTGTAATACCTTTAGTTCCATTTATTAAATTTTACATTAAAATATTTGTTCTGGCAAGCCGCCAGGTAAATGCTTTACAGGAAGTAGCAAGCTGATTTGCAATGAAAGCTAGAGTTTCTGATCGGCACGGGATTATCCATGGCAAAAAAATAGTAGTTATAGTAAAACAGTAACTTATACAAAGGAGTTCCTGTCTGCTTTTTTTGATGTTATTGTTGCTTTTCAAAATGATATTAGAGTGAATGGCCTTTCTTATGAGATCTTTTATGCTTTTTAGTTACTGAAAAATGCTTTAAATTCCTTCTTCATAGGTGAAATTACCGGAAAAGATACTTGTTGGTGTCCTTGGATTTACAAATGCATGCATGAATAATACTTGGTTTTTCTAGTTCCGTTGGTCTGTCTACTTGATGTAAATTGCTACATGCAATTAAGCAAATATCATGGTACTATACTAAACAAAAATAATTAACTTTATATTTTTATAGAGACATATTTAAATCATATTCATCATGTACATAAATTGTAAAATAATTCTTTAAAGAGAAAATTACTGCCTTTTTTCCAGTGGCTTTCTACTATAGCCTCTTTACCTAAACAAAATCTCCAGGTCCTCCCTCGCTCAAGCCAGTTCATTTACTTTGATATGGCTGCCTGATTTGAGGATGCTACTGTACAGATTATTTTGTGTGGATATATTCCCTGTCCCTGTTGGAGAACCACTGAGTTGATGGACATCTTTCAGGAACATCTGTTGACATCATTACACAGTTGCAGCTTAAGACCTAAGATACAGCAATGAAACTACATTAAAACTTTGAAAAGGCCAAAATATAATCTAATATAATTTTTCTGATTCTGAGGGAGCCTGAAGACTAGCTGAAGTAAGGAACTCCTTGATACATGGAATGTAACTATTACAAGTTACTGAACCACACAGCTGGGGAAAGCCAAGTGTCATGTGAAGGATCAGTAGAAGTGCTGCAGCTATGGTGGTATAAGGATATAAGGGAAGGAAGATTTATAAAGGGGGAAAAGTCTTTTGTTAGACAAGCTGAGAGAGTTGGAAGAAGCAACAGCTTTCAGACCCATAGTCCCTCACAAGAAAAAACAAAGCAGCAGCAAACTTCAAGAAACCCATCTCTAGCCTGTATCTAGGATGAAATCTGTTGTTGAAACATGTTGAAGGGCTTGGGGATCCACAAATTTGCTTGTTTCCAAATACATTATTTTGTTTAACAAAGATGTTACCTTTCACTGCAAACTTTGCATCATTGATTTGAGAGATCAGATGAGAAAATCTGCTGAAAAGTTCAGACACTGATTATTTACTTAAATGGACACTTCAAGATACTGAGATAGAATCATACAGGTTAAACTTTAAGGCTCAATCTGTACTATGAGTGCCAGAGAGATTAATTTCCATGGTGCTTACATAAATAAAAATCCATTGTCCCAGAAAATTTGTATTGCTCTTGCTGCTCTGTTCTTTTTTTTTTTTTTTTTACTAGGATTTAGTTGTCATTTCAGTTTCATTTTGAAGGCGTGATTTGCCGGTGCTTGGCAGTAGAGTTGGTTATAATACAGATTGTTTTCCTCTGCTCATTTTTTAAATATTTGAAGTTTATAAATATAGTATGACTACATCTTCCTTTCTCTTGGTAATAAGTTGCAAGAATAGCTACTGTTTTCAATTCTAATAACATCCAATTAAATAAGAACTAATAAGGGATGAATTTGGGTTTTATAAGCCAGAAGCAACAGAAGAAGAGATTTGGGTGTACTGATCATGTGTGATATTGACCATAAGCTGTTAGTACAATGCAACTGTGAAAAAGAGACAGAATACATTATGACAATATATAGGAATGTGGCAGTATTAGTATCCTGGTATGAAGCACCAGTAAAACTTTGGTTTGGAATGTTATCATTGTCACGTTTGGTTAAGGAAAACAAATACCAATTGGATGGGCAGCAGAGCAAATCTGTTGCAGTGATGAGGAGAATGAAGGATGCCTCCTAAATGTAGCAAGGAGAAATGCATGGTTTCTTTAATTTTGTGAAATAGCACAGACTGGAAGATGTTAGATGACTCTCATATAAATAAATAAAAGCTCTCAAGAGAAGAATCAGGTGTTGGCTAGTGGAAAGTGACTAGAGCCAGAAGAGGTTTCAAACAACTGAGTGGAGTGGATTTTCTGAAAATTGATCAAAGGGAACGTGAACTCTGTATAAGCTGAGTTGGGAAAAAAACCCCAGACAAACCCAGCATGTGAGCTTGTTTGATGCAGACCAGGGGAATAAACAGAGGTCATTTGTTACTACCCATGTAGAATGAGAAACTAATACATTTGGGGAAAGATGGCTTCCTTGCTTTAGATATTCTTAAGAGCAGTTGTCTTTTTTGCTATAAATAGATCAGTAGGGGTGGTTATTTGGATTCCTAGCATAGTTTACGCTATTTTTTGCATCTCCAACTTCTATCTTCCCCTTGGATTGTTGGGAGATTTTAATTAGACTATGTAAGGTTGTTATATAATGCATTTTTTATAACGAAAGAGATAAGCAACATCCAGGTTGTTATTGCATATGTTATTGCATATGTATAAGCTTTTAATAAAGAATATTATTTCTTAATGTCAGCAGTTTCTGATGGCATTTACAGGGTTTCTTAAAGCAGGGTACTGATGGTGTCTGGGAAATCCTTCCTTATAGCTATACGCAAGTGATACTGAATGTATATTGTGATCTTCTGAATTGTTTATTTATTACCACTTGAATAGTACTTAGTCCACCAGACACAGATCAGTATGTGATAACTAGTTATTGCATTTGTTTGCAAAGTCATCTTGTTCTAGTAACCACTATTTAGTGTGTTTCCTATATGGCTGTTCATGATGGTAATGTTTCTTGTTCGGCTGTTGTGCTAGAGATTTTTCTCTTCTTAATCTTAAGAGTAGCTCTGAACTTAATATACAGAAGGACTTTTTTTCAAACGTCCTCAGTAATTCTCAGAAACAATCATATGATTATGAATAAGAAACTTATGAGACAGTTTAAGCCCAGCTCAGATCTCAGCTTCCATGGATGATATATTCTACTGCTTTAGAGCAGTATCTCTTATCTGTAAATTATGGTGATAATAGAACAGTATATTACTGACATGAAACAGAACACCTGCATGTAAGTCCATTTATGAGACTCTAGCTACACATTCTTTTTAATAGAAGTAATAAAATAGTTGTTTGTTAATGTTTCTTTTCTCTTATAGAAACAGCAGTCACCCAAACCTGATTTGTATTATTGCAGGAGGAAGCTCTTGTATGCCTTATTGTTTAGAGCTTTTCTATTTCTATGTTTATCTTGATGGATGCATCCAGTAACTGTTCAGTGGATAGGTTCTTACAGCAGTACCCCTTTCATCTTCCCTTAAAAAACAGACTTCCAGAAAAACAAAGTGCAAATTAATTTTCTTAGGTCTCATATACCACTTGAACTATAATGTGTCATTTTAATGTGTATTTTTGATGAGCCATTTTGTACAGAGTATTTATTTCATGTTAAAGGTTGATTTTCTTGAGTACTTTATTTTAGGTACCAGGGATTGGGTCCAACAGTGATTGTTTGTCCAGCAACTGTGATGCATCAGTGGGTAAAAGAATTCCACACTTGGTGGCCTCCATTTAGAGTTGCCGTTCTCCATGAAACTGGTTCTTATACCAACAAAAAGGTAATGGTTGACATCTATTTTGTCAAAAAGCTTTTTTTTATTATCTTTTTTATTTTGTACTAGCCAAAGAATAAAAAAAAAAAAAATCCCCTGTTCCTGCATGTTTGTCAGCAAGCTTGTGCTGTTTTTCTGATTGTTTTAAAGAAAAAAGAAATTCACTGTCTTGTGTGGATTTTTGTAGGAAACTGGGCAAAAAGGAGATGACAGAAAATACTTCCATATTATGATACAGACTAGCATTGCCTGAACAAATTAAACAAAGTAACAGGTTTCTCACCTGAGCTTTTTTTGTATGGTAGTGCATTCTAGAATTACACAAGTAGATTGCTTGTGCACCAGATATATGCTTCTAGTACAGGTGAATTCTTTCCTTGCACTTCACTGCATTAGTATGTCATTGATCTAGTATTTAATACATTTTGCTTGCGCAGGCAATTTCTCTTCAGTTGTCAGTTGATATCACGTAGTCCCATTTTCTGTAATGATAGTGTTACTTTTGTTGATTTTCCTTTTTTTTCAAGCAGTGCCTTTTCTGCCTTTATTTTTTCAGCCAGTCTCTTAATATGCGTGTTCTTACTTCATGTCTTAAGCTGACAAGCCTTACTTGTCTGAAGTTTCACTCACTGATACCCTGAAGGATCAAAACAAGGAAAACTTAGATTTTTGTTTTCCCTTGACCTCATATTTCAGATGCTTAAATGGATTTTCAGGATTTAGAAAAGCATTTTTAAATTTCTCTTTAAATATTTATTGAATTTCTTGTAATAACATTAAAATAATATGGTGCTTAATTGCACTTGATTAAACGTATTCTGAGGTAATTGATGCAGTTACAGTACATGCCAGAAAAGGAATAGCACACTCTAATGTGCTAATAGCTTCCTGTTGTTCAATTAACTTGGTATGTTTTTGAGCCCTAAAAGTCTGTTGACCTCAATAACATGCTTGCATGTCTTCCTAAATTAAATCATTTGTGCTTATTTTGGGTTATTTGTTAATAAATGCACTTGATAGACTAGCTCAATTTTTTCCATCTGCAGGAATCATCAGGTTTTTCAGGACTTCGCCTTCCTATTGTCCTCCTCTCAAATGCCTACTCAACAACTTAAAATTAAGGAATTTGGGTACTGTATGATCCCTTTAGAGTAGGCTCAGTTCTCTGATTCTGCCTTAATGCCTCCTCTTCTGAGAGCTGCGACAGTATGCTTTAAATAAGTGTCACTGCTGATGTGATCTTCACCTTGTGCATGTTTTTATCTAGATGCCTTTTAATCAGAGAAGAGCAAGCATATGACTAAAGTAAAGTTAAAAACCAAAACCAAACCAAAAACCCTTTCCCATTTTCATTGTCCTTATACCTACAAGAAAATTTTACTACTGATTTATTAGCCTAAATAACACTTTTACACTGAAAATTTATCACATAAAATACAGGCCAGCTAAATTCACTCCTGCCTAGAATTTCTTTCCAATATACACATTCTTTATATGGATACGGTAGTGCTGATCTGATCTCTTGACAATTCCAGCTTTTTATAACCTATATCATTACAGTTGGAGGAAAAGAGTTAAGCAATGACAAGTGTCCCATAAGGCAAGACAGTATTACAAAGCGGAAAGAGACAACAGCTGAAGTTTCGTTTCTTAGAACTTAAGTTGATCTTTTAGGTGAGATAGGTCTACATAATTATTACTACAACATTGTCAGGAATCCTGAAATATTAGCAAATATTAAATCCTTCAGCACTGGTGAAATATATGCTTTTATGAATAGGTATTGTCTGTCGCGCCTTCTAAGATACCCAAGCTTCAATACCAGATCCTCTCTCTTAGACTTGCACAAAGAAGTATTTGCTTGACAGTGGAGTGGGGAAGACTTCTGTTCCAATTGTTTTATCGTAAATTGATACTAGGCAATACCTTGCATATTTTTTTGGTTAGTGACACTTTTTTAGTGTTACAAAAGGACTTCTGAGCAGTGTGGCAAATGAAAGGCGCACCAATCATTACCTTACCTCTCCCCAGTCCATTTTGGATTTCTTTGCAAACAACTTCAGGATTTTCCACGATAATAGTATGAAGTAGCAGCCTGAATTGCGAACACCACATTGGCTGCAAAAGTGGTCAGCCTATTTTGGATGAGTCATTAAGACATCCTGTTTAGATACCTCTGCTGCTATAGTATTTGTGTAGGTTTTTAGCATATGTGATGCTTCAAAAGAGACTGCTTCGTTCCTTTGCTAAAATAACAATGGTAGACAATTTTGGCAGTAAGGGAAAGAAATGTAAAGTTCCAGTTTCACCCCTTGAAATACAGCTAATACTTTAAAGGTCTTCAGGTATCCACAAAGGAAGGCAGATTGGTATTTTAAATGATGGAAGGAAGACGCAATAGAGAGTTGAATACGTTTCCAAGACTAGTTTAAGGCATTTGGATGAAATGTAAAACTTGCCTTTTTATTATTTATGATCATAGAAGATCATTTGTTTCTTTTATGATGATAAATGTGCCTAAGTTGGAAGCAGTAAGAAGAACCAGATTTAAGTGGTAGTCTTGCCATGTGAAGTCTGCTTTTAGTTTGAACAAGGTACAGAATTTGTGGCTAAGTATGTCCTGTGATGCTGTCTTAATGCTATTAACCTTGAACTATTTTTTTTTTTTTACACTCAAATCTAAGTGACTTGTAGATATCAAGAGCTCTGAGAGCTGTAAAGATGAGAGAAGAAGTAAATCTGATGTAGTGTATCATAAATACTGTTTCATGTGTGGTATAGAACAGAAGATAAAGGGAAGAAAGCTCTTTAAGTGTAGGGGAAAAAAGCCTTCTGTACAAAGAGCTTGTCCTGTGATTTCAAAACTTCTGGTGGTACATGGGCATTTGTAAATCATAGAATGTAAGAGGCAACATGAACTTTGGTTATCTTGGTTTAACATGCTACATATGGAAAGAGGCTGTATTTTTTAAGGTCAACATGCAAAGAAAATGAGCTGCAGAGGTTACAGTTATTGGCATGACTGCATATGGAACCTCTGTTCTAGCCAAACGCTTTATTTCTGAGTTAAGGACCAAACTTAGATAAACTTAGTATCATGCCACAAGAAGCAGCATTCTTGTTAAATATGTAGTAAGTGCTTTAGCTCTTTTTATTGCAACTTTTACATTATTAAACATTGTAATGTGTTCTTTTGAAGCCTCTTCATGGTGCCATTTAGATTGTTTTGTTGGGGGCAGGGAAATAATAGGGGTTTTATAGGTTGAATTTATGGATCTCTGGGCTTAATGGTTGGTTATGAGATAGTGATAAGCCTGCTGAAGAAAGCATTTTTGATTCATAACTGATGTATGATTGTGTAAGTGACTAGATACTGTCTCTGTAAGTTCACACTTGTCTTAAACGTATCTGAATGTTTAGAGAATTATGTAGTTATCACTAGTCTAGTTCAGGCTTAACATACACATCTCTTTAAGAAAATTACCATTTCTGATACATGATATTACAGAATTCAAGTCCTCTTAAAAAAATTTTAAGAACTATGCTAAAAAAGATAAACCTGATTACTCTGAGCATCAGTCAAAAAATTGTTCTGTTTTTGTAACTTCAGAAACAAACTTGTAGCTACAGCAAGGTGCCAACAGGAAAAAAACATTGGAGGTGTGTCCTTAGAATAAACCATAAGCATTTTAGCCTTAAGAAACAGTGCTTGCCAAAAATCTTCCAGTCTTTGTATATTACATGTGTCCCAGAGAAGACAAGGCAACAGAAGCAACTTATCATCCTAAATTAGGAGCAAATGTCCTTGAATCATAAAGGCCTGAAATACTGTGCTGAACAGAAATGCAAGATCAGAATTACTCAATCTACTTGGACGTTCCTTAGCTCATTAGCACCTTTTAAAGGCCACAGTTCAGAATTTCAAAGCTAGAAACTGCTGTGATTATCATTTGGCATTAGTAGGATTTGTCTCTCAAGTTTGTTGTTATTAATAATATTTTTTCATGTTTTTGTTTAAAAACAGATGTCCTGAAATACTTCATTAAAGTTTTGGGGTTTTTTTTTTGTTTTTTGTTTTGTTTTTTTGTTTTGTTTTGTTTTTTTGGGGTTTTTTTTTTTGGGTGGTGGGAGGGGAATTAAACATGTCTGAATCTAACCAAAAAGAAATTGTGAATTAAAGAATACATGGTAAAATAGTATAAATCCTGGAATGCCACAGCTTCAAACCAGTGTGTATCAATATTAAATCTGTTACCATATTTTAAAATATTTAACATTATTCCAAGAGCAGCAACTAAAGTGAAGGCAACCTCTGAAAAAGTACCCGGTGCAGTAAAATGAGAGTTAATAAGTGTTGCAGTGCGAGTTGATAAAATTGTGGTGGTGTATTTCTTCATTGTCAGCACAAATCCTTGTTTATTAAAAATTTAGCTTGAAGGAAACTTTAATTAATTACAGGTTCAGTAAATCCTGACTAGGATTCTGCTGTGGTGTGTTTACAGTGAATGGCCTTCATGTGCCTGTGTTTCACTTCTGTTCTCTCTGCTACCTGACAACGTGATTTATGGCTGTTGTTTTCTACTAGTCCACTGTTTGCCCTCTAGGAGGGATTGGTCTCTTGAGCCTCCATAATAACAGCAGCACTTTCACAAAACATCTTTTAATGACAACAGTGCAGCATTCTGTAAGTCAGGCTAATTGCAGACATACCCTATTAATTGCAAAAACTAGGAGAGGTTACATATTTTACAAGCTTTTAATTTGAAATCGCCCGAGATGATTTGTCTAAAGTGTTTGGGTGGAGATGTCTACAATATTCTATGATAGGCCAGTGCTGAGACTGCAGGACACAGGTGCCGAATATGGGCAATGTACCAGTAAAATTAAGCTTTGGATGTCCACAGTTGCCTAGAAATCCTACGCTGTCTGTAATACACATTGTTATAAAGATTACGTATTCTCTCAAGAATCAAGATGTCAACGTTAAATAGTGGGTCATGGTTTTA